TCTCACAGAAGTCGGGCTGGTGATGTCTGTCACCCCCTGTCCCTCTGTCCTTCCAGCAGCCTTTCCCTGAGTCCCCTTTACGGACTCGGGGTGCCCTGACAGATGGGGGGATTTAACCCTGGAGGGATTTAATTAAAGGTGCCCAAACCTGGATAAAGTTTGTGCTCACAACACCCCGAGATCCCCCAAAACAGAGCAGAGCTGTGGTTTTTGGGGGCCACACGGGGAGGGGTGGCAGCAGGGCTTTGTGATTTCCCTTCTGTGCACACAGGGCAGGGTCCCCCAGGGGTGACCACGTTCCAGGTGACATTTCCTTCGTGCCTGGCCCGCTTCTGTGGGACATTTCTCGGTCAGCAACAGAGAACGGCCTCGGATCTATTTATACCCCACCCTGGAGCCGGGTAAAAATAACCCCGGCGTGTTTGGCAGCCTGAAGGCGCTGCTGTAAATCCTCTCTGTCAGCGAGAAAATCCCGCTGGGGTCGGAGCCGGGGTCCCGCTGGGAAAGGAGGTGCTGGGGGAAGCCCAGGGGCATCCGTGGGGTTGGACCCCGAGCGGAGGAGGAAAGGGATAGAGGGAACCTATGGGGCAGCAGCTGGCAGCATCCTTGTGTCCCAAAAATCCGTCTGGGAAGCAGAGCAGGAGCGTCAGATTGCTCTTGAACCAGGATTAAAAGGCACTGGCGCTGCTGTATTTTTAGCTTCGCGATCATCCTTTGAAAAAAAAAATCCCTCATTGTGGCTGGTGGGGTGGGAGAGGAGTCGGGAGCTGCCCCAAGCTCAGCGCCACCGCTCTTTATATCCCATCCTGTGGCCACGGGGAAGGTCACGGTGACTCCTGCAGTGCTGTCACCTCACAGGGATGGGGGAGCCCCATCCCATCCCATCCCATCCCATCCCATCCCATCCCATCCCATCCCATCCCATNCCCATCCCATCCCATCCCATCCCATCCCATGGATCCCATCCCATCCCATCCCATCCCATCCCATCCCATCCCCTTGCAGATCCCGGGGCTGCTGCCGCCCGAATCAGCTTTATCTGCCGGGTTATTAATAGCTGCGGCTCGGCTCGGCCCTGCTCTAATTGCAGGTTAATGAACACCCGGGAGAGGCTGTCCCGCATCCCTGCTCGGCCCGCCTGGGAGCAGCCCCAGGATGCCGGAGCTGCCGGGTCCCGGTGTCCCCCAGCCCCGGGGTCGTTCCACGCCCGAGCTGTCGCGGTCCTGGTGGGGACAGCCTTGAGTTGTCCCTCTGGTTGTGGCCTGGATGCTTGGGGAGGGAAATGCTGAGCACGACGCTTTTTCCTGGGGGATTTTCCCTGCAGGACTCGCAGCCGGGCTGGAGAGGAGCCACGCCAGAGCTGTGATGGTGAACAAGAAACGTTCCCACATCTGCCGGTCCCCTCCCCATCCCAAGGGATTCCCATTGCCCACACCACACAGGGTTAAAGCCTTTGGGATTTTGCAATGGTCCGCAGCAGCTCCGGGGGTTGTGGGAACAAGTGCCAGGAGCTGCCCCACACAGACCCTGCACAGGGGCCCGAAGGTCGTTCCTTGGCCGTGTCCTTGTTCCCAGAGCAGGGGCAGTGTCTCACTCTTGGGGACACACCCAGAGTGTCCCCAGCTGCTGTGGGGCCAAGAAGAGCAAGTGAAGGTTTTGGTGAAACCAATTATTATGTGATCTATGATTTCCCCAACCCCAGTGCATGGATTGTCCCGCTGGCCATGGGACGAGGGTTCCCAGCTCATCTTCCTTGGTCCTTTCCCAGCTCCCGGAATCCCCGGCTCCTCCTCAGCTCCCTCGGCCCCAGCTGCTCTCGGGCTCAGCTCTCCTGGCCTGGCCTGAGCTCATTCCCAGCTCAGGGCTCTGCTCTGGCCCCGTGTCCTCCAGAGAGGGTTAAGTCGCTCCTTGGGCCCCGTGGGGAATTAAGGGCGCTCAGAGCCAGGGTACGGGGACAGGTCCCTGACACCTCCAGCAGAGCCATGAACAGGGATCGGCCCATCCCAAAAAACTCAACCAAAGCACGACCTCCCACCTGCCTTGCTGCTCTTTGAGGTGGAGGCAGCAGGAATTGGAGCAGCTCTGGATTTTGGGGATTTGCACAGAGTAAAGGACCAGCAGCTTTAGTACTTGAAAATTTTATTTTCTCAAATGAGCACCAACACATATTGTAAATATGACAAACAATACGCCTCCCTCTAATACTGAAGAACTATATACAATGTACAAATACATGAAACGTGAAAACCAATTATCTGAAAAACAAACAATTGCATTTATGACTGAAGCAAATGACCTGAAAGAATATGCAAAAAAAAAAAATAATTAAAATAAGATCAAAGAAATAAAAGTATACACAATTTGTAAACACAAGAGCATCCATAGACAGGCTGGTATTGGAAATATTGTCCTTAGTTTTGTCAGTGGGGAAAGCATTCCCATTTCCTTAGGAAGAACAAAACAAAGGATACACACAGTTGTAACGATGAGAACAGCTTATTTGTGGTTGTACCTTACACAATGCCATTCTGCTTGCATTTAAGTATGTTGATTTTTTATTTTTTTTTTTCTGAATTCAAGATGATTTTGTTTCCCCTCTTCTGCTTGTTCTTTTTCACCAGGATTCTGCAGAAAATCTCTGTCTAACCTGATTGTTTCTGAGCACTGAGGCCTCTCCCGTGGTGGGAAGAGCTCCTTCCCACTGAGCTGAGCTTGGTGTTTGGCATCCCCTCTTCATCCCAAAACTGCTTCACCTGGAAGCTCCTCCCGAGGCAGGGAAGTGCAGTGAAATGCATGATTCACACACTCTCACAGAGCAGTTAGAAAAATGCATACAGAGAAAATTCTCACTTGATCATCACGAGAACAAGAGGTTTTATTTCGCAGGGTTTGATCTGTTCCTGTGTGGTTTGAAGCCGTGTGCAGAGAATTAAAAAGCCTGCAAGAGTTCTTGACCAGCTCCTTGCTCAGCAAAACACATCCAGTGGTTTGTGCTGTTGGTCCACTTTGGGATAAACAAGAGACCAAATGAGAGAAAAACAAAGAAGGGCAAGAAGGGGGGAGATTAAAGACAGAAAGGAGAACAAAATAAATGAACTTTACTGCCAAGAGAGGTAAACTTTTACTCTAATTTGTTGTGTAGCAGCCTGGTTAAAAAATATATTTATAAACAAAACAACAAAACCTCCCCTCAAAAATAAAACCAGGATCCAAAGATTTATGGTTTAGGTGAGTTAAAAGCTCCATCCTCCATCCCTGCTGCCCCAGCAACAGCGAATCCGAGGCTGCAGCTCCTGTCCAATCCCAACTCCTGCAGCTCCAGATCTACTTCACTCCAGCCAACACTGGTGCAAGAGAAAATTCCAGGCCTGGATTCTACAAACCAGGGAAAGTGGGAGCCCCACCAGGCTCCAGGGGATTCCTGGTGGGAGCACCAGGGGACTCCAGCCCCAGGGAAAGCCAGAGGGGAACTGGAGCCCTCCCAAGTGCCTGCAGCCCCTCTGAGCCCAAACATCCCCCTGGGGGCTGCTGTCCCCAACCCAGCCACCAAATCTGCCAGCTGGGAGTCCCCTCTCCTGCCACATCCACAGGAAACACGGATCCACTGCAGAGGACAACGTAAATTATGATTTTTGTTTCCCTTTAAACATATTTTCCAACAAATACAGAAGGAAACAGTATCATCATAAACAAAAACAACAAAAAAAAGTGCTCTCAGGGAGGGGCTCTGAGAAAACAGCACCAAATATATTATTTCTTTAAAAAAAATTAAATATTATTTACAAAAGTATATTTCACAAGATAACGTCTGGGGGTTATTTTTTCTGCTTTGTATATATTATAATCTGAATATTTCTTACAGGGGTCAGGATTTCACACCAGACAATCCACCAAAGCAAAAAACAATTTAAAACTTACTCAAGTCTGAGCTTTGGGGTTTAGGGGGGGGATGTAAACTCAAGGGTGCTCACAGCTGCCCAGACACGAGGCTGGACACCAAAACAAGAAGGAAAACTCGCTGCTGTCCCTGTTTTCCCGAGGATGCTGCCCACAGAAAGCAGCACCACGTGCTCAGGAACCAGTTTCCATGGGCCACATCTGTTTCTCCTGGGAAAAGGCCCCACCTGGCTCAGCTCAGCAGGGAAGTTCTTTGGTTATCTCTGAGTGTGTCACTCTGTGGCTCCTCCACTCGGGAGCCACCAGCACAGATCCCACATTCAGAGCAGCACAGATCCCAAATTCCTGCCAGCCCCCAGCTCCCGGGGGAATCAGCAGCCAGCTGAAGCTGTTCCTGTTTCCTGCACACACACAGGAGCTGCACAAGCCCAATTCTCCTCATCCACCTTGCAGGACATCACAGCCCCCCCAGGGAATTCTCTGGGTGCTGGGGACAGCCACATATGGGGCTCCCAGCAGGGCTCAGGGCCAGGCTCTCAAACCAATTAAAAGCAGATTAACACCTCACCCTATTCAAACTTGGACTGGTTGCCATTAAAAGCCTGTGACCAGTAAAAACCAGCCAGGTCTGATGGGGCATTGCCCTTTTTTTGTCCCAAATGAACGGATAAAAACATTTCCACCTGGCAGCTCTCTGGAGCTGGTATTTCTCAGAGCAGTTCTCTGCACAGCCCTGCCTTTTAGGTCTCTTTTTCATCAGCAGTCACTCCAAATACAAACATCAAACCACGAGCCCTGTGTGCTCTTCTCAGCCTCATTGGATTTGGGATGATCCCTCACCTCTCCCAGCTCCTTTACAGGCTCTGTGGAGACTAAAGAGCTCTTTGAAGAACAGGAATTACTTCCCACTAGTCAAAACTCAATAAATTGCCATGGATCCTCAATGAAAGGACAGGGAAATGGCAGCAGATCAGTGCCAGAGTCCACAAGACAGCAGGTGCTGTGGAATTTTTGATTTTTATGGGATTTGTCACAGCAGGAAATGTGGCTGATAGAAGGAGAGACAATCCAAAACAAAAGCTGAAGCAATTGTTACACAGCTTTGAGAGAGAAAAAAACAACCTTTGCTTCATCAGGTTTGGGTTTCAGCACAAGGATCCAACACTGAATTCCACCCTGATCCTTAAGGAGAGTCTCTATCTGCATTCCCTGCCAATTTAACATCAAATTACTCTTCCACAGCCCCCTGGAACCTCTCAGGGGTGGGGGCAAGTGACAACAGATTACAGCTCCAAAGCTTCTGTTTCATAAGGAGTCACCACCCCCTGCACAACACTCTTTCCTTCTGGATTAAGAAAGATTTCCCCCCATGGATTAACCTACTTGAAAGAAATCAGCCAACAAAAAGAAAAATTCACTCAGGGAGAGATAAAACAAACTCAGCTCAATAGTCCTGGGTTATGCACCAGATACTGGCTGGATGCTGCACAGCAAACTTCCCATTGTTATTTTGGCCTAACACAGTTCCCCTGTCACACACGGCGCCCCTTCCCCACCATCCACCTCGGGAAGGGGCTCAGGAATCACCATGGAAAAATTCAAATGGGAAGGACTCCTTGTCCATTGCAGTTCTGACACCCACATGTACCCCTCAAGGCATAGATTGCTCCAGGGGTTGGTGGGAAGGTGTTTAATTTCTTTTTTTCTTTCCCATTCTCCTCGTGCCTGCAGTGGGCTTCTGGGAGTGGGAAAAGGGGGGAGGATTTGGGGAGGATTTCTCAGGGCTTGAAATATCCAACACAACCTCCAGGAACTCGGCTCCCTCCTCGCACCATTTCTGCGCCAGGCTCCCCCAGTGGAGCCTGGCATGCAAGGAAAAGGTTCTGCAACAGCATTTTCCTACTTGCACTTGTGAAAGATCGGTGCAACACCAGCGAGGGTGCTCAGGGGAGGCCAGGAAATCCAGGGGTACCCTCTGTCACTGTCCCCATCCTCCTCTACGGAATTTCCTCCTCCTTGCCTCGCACGTGCCTTTCTTCACCCTGTCACGTTTTCTAAGCTGCAGCTCCAGCCTCCTTGTGCCTCAAGTGGTTTTCTCCTCCTCTCTGAAGGGCTCAAGAGTCTGGATTTGGTTTCTCCAGCCATGAGGATGCTCCTCATGGCCGTGCTCTGCTGGGACGTTTGGCCTCTCTACCCTGAACCAGCAAGAAAAAGGAGAGGCAGGGAATCTCTCCAGCCTCCAGGTCCTGCCCCCTCAAACAACGAGTTCATAAATAGCAAACAAAACACAGATTGTGGGGGGAGCTGGTTCTGCCTCGGGCTCAGCCGGCTCGGGCTGAGGCTCCGCCGATGGATTCGGGATTCCGAGAGAAAACGCAGCCGTGAGGTAATTTCTGTCCTTTTAGACAAGGAGATATTCCTCTATCCTTTTTAGACAAGTAGGTATTTCTCTATCCATTTAGACAAGTAGATATTTCTCTGTCCATTTAGACAAGGAGATGGTTTCAAGCCTTGCTTAACCAGGACTGAAAGGAGAAGCACAGCGTCACCTTCTGATGGTTCCCCTGCTCCCCCACCCCTCTCCCACCTTCTCCTGCCCAGGCCTCGGGGTCTTCCTCCCACACCTGGGGAGGTGCCAGGAGAGCCCAGGTCAGGCTGGATCGAGCTCTGGGCACATGGAATGGCTGTCGGGCATTCGGTGCATTCTCTGAGCCAACGCCAGAACAGAGAGAGAAGCAGCCAGGGTCAACTCACAAACAGATACAAAGCAAAGAGACAGAGAGACAGAAATTTAGAGGCCAGTCACCAATAAAGATGGAGAAGGGTGTGAAGATGCTCCCGGATTGCAGAGCCTCTAAATGCATGGAACCAAGCGTTCAGTCACTCTCTCACTCTTGGATATAATGTTCGGTTGGATGGCATTCTCTTACACGCTGCTAGGGCTGGGCTCTTCCCACTCAATCCCAGCCATTATCCTTGATCATGTGAGCTAGTTCAATGATGTATTTGCCTTCTTTATACTTCTGGCTGCTTTCAAAAGCGTGTTCCTAAAATGGAACGAGGAGGAAGGGTGAGATTGAGGTGGTATTTGGATGTAAATCATGTTATGGGAATGCTGGTGCAAGTCTGAGCCTTGCCCAAAGAGAAAAAGTCAGCTGCAGGTTTTCCTGCTGGCTCCCAGGAAAATTGTGAGGGAAAAAATCTTAAATCCTGCTTCTGGAACCTTAAATCCTGCTTCTGGAACCTTAAGTCCTGCTTCTGGAACCTTAAATCCTGCTTCTGGCTCTCTGTACATGCTGGGAAAAAGGAATTGGCAGATTTCTGTAGGCCAATGGCAACTGCTCCTAGGGCCAGGATTTATGGATCACTGGTGGTAAAATCCAGCTCTCTCCAAGGTGGCTTGGGAATTTATTAAGGTTTGTTAGGAATGAAGTGGTTCTCTCATTGGGAATGGGATGGATTATGGTGAATTTAATGTGGAAATGGAGTCCCATGAGAAAATCCCACTCTAAACAGATCTGGGCCTGCAGCTGTGGAAACACACAGGAAACCTCTGGGATCCCCAATATCCCTGAGCTCCTGCATGGATTCCTACCCCATCAATTTTTGATATTTTCCTTTTTATAGCCTTTCAACTGACTTAGTGAAGAATACTTCTGCCCAGAGGCCATGGATACAAACTAAGATTTGCTTAGACACTGGTGGAAACATATGAACAAAATGGTGTAGGCCTCCAGAAGCAGAAATTAGGATGTAACATTAGATTTCATTGGAAGATAATTGAATTTAGGAAGAGCAAACAGATAAATTCATGTTCAACATGAATTCAACAGCATTTCCAGTGGGAAGGATTAATGGAGCATTCTATTATTCTGATAACATCTACCAGAATAATAGAAAAGTGTGAACCACAAGAATGAAGTTATCCTCATTTATGTTACATGTCACTGAGGGCCACCCACCAAAACCAGGTGTAAATTCTTAGTAAAAAAAAAACAACCTACATTAAAGCTGATTCTCCAAATGCAACACACCCAAGACAGCAGGAAAACAGATGGTTACAGGTAAAAACCTGCATTTTGGGCTCCCAAAATGGTCTTTCCACCCCCTCAACTGGAGCAAAACTGCCCAGGGGCAAAGCCAGGGACACAAATACTCACATATTTCCAGCCCAGCGTGGTTTTGCAGTTTTCACAGTAAATATCTGCCACGGCGTGCAGTCCTGTTAATAACACCCGCTCCTCTGCAGGGCCACAGCCCACGTTAACTCTGGGACAAAGCACAGATGCTCCCCATTAGTGCCTTTCCACATCAAGATGCTCCAATAAAGCTGACAATGATTTCATTGCAGTGTTTGAAAACATGAGCAGGAGGTTCTGAGTTTCCCAGCTGTGCCTGAACAAAGCTCTCTCACAGTTCCAGAGCAGAATGAAAAGGTAAAATGGGGTTTTTATTCAATTAAAAAACTCAATGAAAGCTCTGAACAGGAGATTAATAACACTCTAGTCACTTGTGCTAATTAGGCATTTGAGAAAGATTTTCATTCTCAAATTGATAAAATAGTACTTTTACTTTCCCAAATGGAAAATTGAAAAGTGTAACTGAAATCAGCAGTTCTGCTGGAAGACAGCAGTGACCTCCCCAGAACTATTTCCAGTCACTGGGAAAATTATACTTAGTTTTTATGAAGTACATATTTAGATATCATCTATCTCCACATTTACAAAACTCTGGCTCTTTGGTCCAGCTACTTCCTGGGAGAGGAGAATGACTCAGCCATTAGCTCTGATTTCTCAACCCAATGACGAAAAAAATCACCTTTTCCTTGCTGCTTATCTGAAACCCGTACACGACTCAAATATGAATCAGGGGCTATTTCTGCCTCTTTCTCCACCATTTTCAGGAAGCTCCCAAGTCCCAGGCAGAGGTTTTCTGAAGGAAACTATGGGGTTTTTGCCTTTTTCAGGAGGGTTTTGTTAAATCTGCCCCAAGTGACACGTGCAGGGTACTCACACGGAGTTGAAGAGGTACGCTCGTCCTTGGCTGCCCTGGAAGGACTGGAAGGCAAGAAAACAAAGCTTAGTTGGCTGCTTGAGAGGAAAGAGGCAACAGTTCTCCAGCTCCAACACCTGCCCTTTTCACAGGACACACCTGGAATTTCAGTGTTTTCATACAGGCCCAACGTGCTGCTTGAGGGATGAGTTTTCTCTCTCATGTCCCAGCAAAATCTCTTTTCGCCCTTTGGGTGTTTATGAATTTCACACCACTCCTCAGCCTCACCTGAAGGCTGCCAAAAATTGGTTTGAATTTCTTTTCAAACTGCACTTGGACATGAGTTTGCCTTGGGAATTGCCCAGCCAGACACCGATCAGAGCTGAGGATTAGGATCTGTCTGTGCCAGGAGCTGTGCACACAAACACCACCGTGATTTCACAAAAGCCTCAGCCTTGAGGTGGGTGCAAGCCTCGTATTCCCAGGCCTGGAGATCTCCAGGACTGGGGCTAAACCCAGCAGGAAACAGAGATGAACACGGACAAGAGAACCACAGAGCAGCCAAACCAGCCCAGATAATCCAGGCACGTTCTCTCTGCCCCACATTTCCTCAGCACCCGAGAGCATCACCATGGATGGATCAGTTCTGGAGGGATCAGGGCAGTGCCAGCCTGGCAGGACACTGCAGGCACTCCCAGCACTTCCCAGCAGGTCCCAGTGTGCCACATTTGTGCCATCACCCTGTGACAGTGCCTGGCTGACAGGTACCAAGTGCCACCTGCATTTTTAATGTGCTTTGACAGACACACACTGAATTAAACATTTGGTGCATGTGAGCAAGAGCTGGGCTGTCTGTACACAGGTTACCTTGTGGGACACCTCAGGGAATGTCTGCACCGAGAGGCAGGCACTGGGGAAGTCACAAAGCAGCTTTTCTGGACCATTTACTGCTTTACTTTGCACTTCACCAGGAACCTTGGAATGTTCAGTGGTTTTCTTAAGACCTCAGCTGATGATTTCAGACCAAAAATCCTCAAAAGGGGGGTGACAGGGTTTTGAGGGAAAGAGAAACATTCATGTTTTACCTCCAGGCCCTCTAACAATGGTCATTTATACGGTTGAGTGCAACCCCACATCACATAAAACAATCTCTGGGGGTCCCTGCCCTCCTTGGGTTGTCCCCTTCCATCAGTGCCCTCCTGCACCTGCCCAACTCCTGCCTCGTGGAGAGTCAGTCAAAGCCCTGACAGCTTCCTTGGGAACATCCCCAATTGCAAAAGGATCCTTTCCACAGAGCAGAGGTACCTCAGAGGACAAAACTGCCACAGGGCACCTGGGCAGGGAGCCACAGCCAGCAGTGCCAGCTGCCTGTGAGGTCTGCATGGCAGCCAGGGCTCTGCCAGCTATAAAATCCCTGCCTGGCACAGAATTCCCTGGGTCCTGGAGGGATAACTGCTCTTCAGAGGAATCTGAAGCCCAATATTAGTTGCCACCCAGAGCACAGAAAAGCCACTGTGGATGCAGAGAGGATGCCCGAGGCACTGGGATATCTCTTTGCCTCAGACAAAAGCAGTGCCCTGAGGAATGCCTCTTTTCTTGGGCAGGAATTAAATAGGACACATGGCCCAAGTATGTTTGTGTAATTGCATTTATTAGAGAAGCTTCTTTTAATCCCTCTGCAGCTCTCAAGCTCTGTGTTCCTGCTGCTGTCATACCCCACACCCAGCCAGCCTGCCTGCTCCCAAACACACCCTGCACCATCCCAGTGACCTGGTGGGGGAAAGTAGGAACCCAAATGAGGATTCCCTGGTCAGAAATGAGAGTCCAAGCCAGACCTGACTGCAGGAGGGCACTGCCTGTCCCTGCTGCAGGACTGGGATGCCATGGAAAGGGTTCAGGGATGAAATACAAATCCCACAGCAATGTGTGTGCCACCAGAGCAAAATGAAAGCAGATGAAGCTTTCTCACCATCCAGTAAATACTTCTCTGTAAACACCAAAGTGACTGAGTTTGCCAATAACAGCAACTATGGGAGCAGAGTTTTTTATTGGTACAGAAACAGGATTTTCTGTTCCTGCTGTACAAAGGTCTGTATTTAATAAACAACAAACCCAGTCCCATCAGCTGTGCTGGGTCTCACTGGACATTGTTCCACTCCCAGGGACAGCAGCATCCTTCCAGAGGTGCCTGCCCTTCCTCCCAGCTCACACCAGTGCTTGAGGGTATCTAAGGGTGGTCACTGGTAAAAAAAATCATCACATTATTTATCCCCTGCCCAAGCAGAAGTTTTCAACAAACCACTGCTCAGCTTTCAGTGCTGTCTCAATAGTGACTCTCCAGCCAGCAAAGGATTTGGCAAAACATATACAAGGAAGGGAGAGAAGTCTGGTAACCACAAGTTCCCCAGTGCATTTGCCCTCTGCAAGACTAAGCTGGCTGTATCTTTATAAAGGTGGCACAGGCAGCTTTTATCTGGGTGCTGTAACCTGAGTGTTTCCTGGAGATGTTCCTGCTCTTCTGGCATGCCAGAAAAACTGGCATATGCTGTAATGGGAACTACAAAATCAGAAAAAAACAGGTATATTTATACACAGCAGATGCTCTCGTATTTGCTTTTGTTGTTTTGTTTGTTTTTTTAAGAGACACACAAAGATTTCCACAACACACTTGATTTTCACTGAAGTGACAGCCAGCAGCCAGACCTACTTTCTGTGCTCTGCATTTTCTCTGTATAGATTTTCCTGATACACATTCAAAGGTGCATTTCAATCCCCCTCCCACAGAAATCCAGACTCTCTGAAAAAACAGCTCCTGGCATCACTTTCCAGCTGGAAGAAATGGAAAGGATCTTTCTGTAGTTGTTTCCCACTGGAAGCCCAAGCACATATTTTTCCCTGCACTGCTAATGCTCGGTGTCTGGCTGGAAACACATCTGGATTGTGCCAGCAACACAACCTTCCCTCCCCATCCTGTCTGAGCCCTCTAAAAAAATCAACTCGAGCTGTTGGGATCAGAGATGCACAACAGCTCATTCGTCGTGATGTGCAGCTCAGGAACCCTCCCCATTCCTGGCTGCTCAGGAAAGAGGCATCCAAAAGCTGCAGGGCCCAAGGAGAGCTGGTTGGAGTATCCAGGTGGGGAGCCAGGAGCCTCAGATCAGCAGTTTGGAGCAGATCCTCTCTCCTCACTGCAGAAGCTCCATGTTAAGAAGCTTTGGCAGCTGCTCTGGTTTAAGAAGCTGCTGCCACCCAATTTGCAGGCACTCCTTGTGGCCCCTCAGCTGTGCTGATCCCAAATTAGAGCTGTGAAATCGTTGTTTTAAAATCCAGATGTTTTGCAGGAGGTGGGGTGGGTTTGAGGGAAATGGCTTTTCCCTCCTTACCCAGTTAAAGGACAATCCCAGGGATTGTTTCGTGGTCACAGTTTGGGACAGGCACAAGCCCTGGGGAGAAAGGAGCTCTCTAAATGTGCTGGCAGAGGGGCAGAGTGCAGATCTGAGCCTGCAGGGAGGCACCTGGGGTTTCATAGATGCTGCTGAACCAGCCCTGCCACAGGAGCAAACAGGACCTGCATCCTCATCCAGCTCTGGGGCAGACACGTCCTGCCCACCAGGGATGGGCCCAGCCTGCAGGACCATGAATCCTGCTCTGTTCAGCAGCCAGGACCTTGGGAGCTGTTTGGGTAAATCCATTTGTTTATTCTGCTCTCAGCCCGAGGTGCTGAACCCACGGCTCCGAGCATGGCGCAGGGTCCCCTTGGCAGAGCTGTGCAGGGAAGGGCTGTGCCTCTCCACCTCCTGCCTGCTCCCTGCTCCACCTCCACACCCTTGCTCTGGCACATTCCCCTCTCTGCTGAGTGCTGGAGACACAGGAGGGAATTCTGACATTCCATCAGCCATGCCAGGGAAAGGCACAAACTCTGAAAACACCGTCCCACCTCCCCCTACAGCTCCTCAGTCACAGCACAGCCCACCCGGCAGTTCCACTCTCCCAACAGAGATTAATACCTCAAGTCTTTGTGATGGTGTTTGACAATAAGCTAAACACAAAAAGAGCTGCTGGAATCATCTGGAAAAAGAGGAAGCAGTTGCCAGGGCTAAATGGCTCCACAGTGATGCTTGTTCCCCGCAGACTGCAGCAGAGAAAACCCCCACGTACCTATATCCAGCTGGCAGCCTTTGAACAATCCAATAAAGCAGAAATGAAAAGGCAACTGGTCCCAAAGAGGTCCAAGAGGGAAAGGGAACAGCGTGTGCCCCTTCACGCTCCTCTCCTGAGATAATTCCCACTGCAGGGATGCAAATGGAGCTGAGGGCCCAGAGCCACCCTGGAGAGCCATGGCACGTCCTGGGCAATGTGGAATGGCAGCGGCAGGAGAAGCCAGATGAGCACAGGAACCAGGATTTTCCGAAGAGGACACGTTCCCTGTGTATTCCCACAGGGCAGAGTGGTGCAGGGAGAGAAGGGATGTTACAAACCCATAGGCACTGAATCTGTGCCTGAGAAATCCACACAAGGAGCTCTCCAGAGAGATCTGGGATCACTGATTTCCCAGCTTCTGGGTCTGAGTTACTACAGCCACAGCACAACACTGACTGAGATTTCTCTATTCCCACTGCTGATTTAACCTTTAAACATCCCAGGATGAGATGTTCTCATAAAATAGCTTGACCAGGGAGAGGAGATGTTTAACTAAGACAAAATGTTGTGTCAATATAACCTGACATGAGTCTGAGTAGCAAGATGTGCCCCAAACCCAGGTTTCCTTGTGCTCATGCACTTAATCCCAATTCCTACCTGCTGCTTTCCAACATCCCACACAAAGCTCAGCCTTCATGGCACCTTTCAAGCCAAATTTGATTTAATTTGATTAAAAATATGAGCCCTGGAATGTGTTTAGAGGAACCACTACCTGTAACAGCACCAGGTATATGATGGCTCCATGAGGAGTTTCCTTGAGAGTCACTGAGCAGCAGGGAGAAAACTGGAAAATAAAAACTGTGAAAACTCCTGCTGCAGATTCCAGGCTCTGCCCTAGCCAGCACCAGCCATTCCAACCACTCAC